TAAACAATTCGTCTCCTCCACATTACCCTAGCACCATTTTTGAGTGTATCACATACGTAAACAACGTATGCAACGTACAGTATGTATGCGGATACGTTGTTTACGCTTTGATCTGAATGTAAACAACGTACATGCGTTGCGAGAAGATGAATAGTTGAATAAAGTCATTATTTTTGTTTTCTTTGCACACAAAAAGTATTCTCGTAGCTTCGTAAAATTACGGTTGAATCCCTGATGTCACATGGACTATTTTAACGATGTGCTTGCTACGTTTCTGGACCTTGATCATGTTAGGATTCTTGCTGTCTATGGGAGGGTCAGAGAGTTCTCGGAATTCATCAAAAATATCTTAATTTGTGTTCCGAAGATGAACGAAGGTCTTACGGGTTTGGAACGACATGAGGGTGAGTAATTACTGACAGAATTTTCATTTTTGGGTGAACTATCTCTTTAATGTTATGGTTCCGTTCCCTTATTCTTTTCAGGCGAGTCGATCCCCATCCGCTTATTTCTCGCTGGATATGAGTTGACACCCACCATGAGGGACATCAACAAGAAGTTCTCTGTGCGTTACTACCTGAACCTAGTCCTTATAGATGAAGAAGAGCGACGATACTTCAAACAACAGGTCCGGATTCCACATATAATGTAACATTACACATTACCTGTTACTTACAAATGAGTAAAATACATTGCTGTTCATTCTCAACAGGAGATCACACTCTGGAGGAAAGGAGATATTGTGAGGAGAAGTATGTCCCAACAGGCCACCATTGCCACCCAGAGATATGAGGGATCAAACTCTGAAACTGCGTCAGCACAAGCCAAAGAAGAGAGTAACTAGACGCAAGACGCTTTATGTTCCCTCGAGATCTCAAATGAACCTTGTTACGTCAAAATAATGTTTTATAAGTCTCAAAGGGATCAATGCGATACATGATTTTTGCAGAAAAAGTGAAATCATCGCTTCTTGAGATCAAAAATGAGAATTGTGCTTGTAAAAGACAGTCCAACTATGTGTATAGATTACAAAATATTTTTTTATTTCGCTTTCCAATACTGCATGCATTTCCATTATACAATAGTGACCAACAGTTTTGAAATGCCAGACACAATCTTTTAACGTGTACGCCGCTGTTTTCATGCTATACGTTTGATTTGTGCTTTATGAAGTTGTAAGGCTCAATACATTCCTCTTCTTATGCTCAAATTTTGCTTAAGTCAAGTACACTGAAAAATCGAATCTAGCTTCTGTACCTTGTCCTGTGTAATGAGCCCAAAAAGAGATTTACTGTGATCTTTTGTGTTAAATCTAGCGCTTCATGTACTCTTCATAGAGCTCTGCACAGTATTATTCTGTCATTTGGGGTATCGCAAATGAAGGCCTCCATAGAAATGTCTAATAAGGGAACTACTAACTTACTTAACATGAATATTTTTATTATTGATTATTTTTTTCTTTTGATCTGGTGAATGAATAAGAATCAGCAGAATCATTGACAGCACAAGGTTCCAGCATTCTCAAGAGTGCAGTTTAATGCGGTAATAGAGAAAATCCTTCTTGTGATTGTTTGCTACTAATTTTTAAGGTGAATTTTTCATTTTTTTCATGTGTATGTCTTTGTATTATACTAAATATTTGCTTAATAGCTTATTAGCTGTTCAGGTGATGAGGTATGACTATTAACAGCCATGCAACCGTGAAAACTTCTGCAAAAGGCTCATTTAATCAGCCCTATTGTAATAAAATTTACTAACCTCTGCATTCAAGATGATTTCCTTTTTTCTCCAAAATTAAAGGGGTCATATGATGCTTTTTTAAAGATCATTATTTTGCGTATTTGGTGTAACAGAATATGTTGACATGCTTTAATGTTCAAGAAACACATTATTTTTCAAATACTGTACATTATTGTAGGTCCTCTATGCCCCGCCTCTCTCAAACACATCGTTTTCAACAAAACCCCCTCCTTTGACAAGTGCAGTCTGCTCTGATTGGCCAGCTGATCCAGTGCATTGTGATTGGCCGAACCCCACAAGCACGTGTCGGAAATGAACGCCCTTTACCATAATCGTGAGCTTCAGCTTTCAAATTAAATATCAAGACAGTTAATAATGTCTTAGTTTTACCATCAGTTCAAGCCCGAAAGGGGAACAGAGTTGTGTGACGATTCCTAATTGCATCTACTTCCGGAAGGCCAAATAAAGTGCTTTTGCTTTCGCACTGAAACACACAGCGTCTCCCTGACATGGCTGCATCAACACTACTGCTGTTCCTGAAACCATGCCTTCTTTCTTTGCGTGCACATTTGGGCGGCATTATGCAAATATTTCCACATACATAGTGAAGTAGATATGTGGGGGAGTGTTAGAACGAGCCGTTTTAGGTAGGCGTGGCTGACTCATAACTTTTATAAAGAATATCTCTTTGGATTTGAGACTTTAGTCTTTGCAACTTTACAGATCTTCTTTATGCACCAAGAGCTTGTAACACTTCAAAGAGAAAGGAAAAATTGAAATCGCATCATATGACCCCTTTAAAATAACCTGTGATAACTGACTTCTCATCAGTCTGATATTATTGGTAGAAATCTGGTATTATTAAGTGATCTGAAGGAGACAGAAGCACAAGCAAATATTTTATTAACAAAATTATTAAAATGTTTTAAGATTATTATTTGCTTATTTGGTATTTCGAAGTTACATGAGTATACAGCAGATTACATTAAGAAAAGACTGACTATAAAATTTAAAGTGAGAGAGAATCATAATAGGATGAGATGAAACCGACTTATATGGTGATTTTCATCTTGGATCTTCATTCTCCAAACTCAGAACAAAGTCAAATTCCTCTGAAAAGAAGAAAAAAATAAGTATGAGCTAATAATTATTTTAATTAACAATTATATTAATGTTAATAATAATTATATGAACAAATATAACAAATCAAAAATAGACTGCTTTTCACAAATCCATACAGCTGAATATCTGGACTTAATTTTAAATGCTTTTAATAAATTCTAAAATATATTTAATATAATATAAATTACTTTTAGCTAAAACAAAATCAGCATTTAACATTAGTTATTTTTTAAGAATTTAAAAATATATATTTATAATCACATTTTAAATCATGCTACACTACAGTACATGAAAATGAGAAGACATATTTTACTTATTTGTGTTATTAAATACAACTAACCCGCAGTGAGAGGCTGAACTGATAGTCTGGCTCTGGTGAAGAGGGCCATATCCTTTAAGGGTCCACCTTTAGCTTTGTGCTGTAAGTGATATTTCTTCAGCTCAGTCAGAGGAATGAAACGCTTGGTCATCCTTTCGAACTGAACATCCACCTATACAGAGTTAATCTACGGTCAGTTCTGAAGGCAAAAACATAAAGTTATCTTTATGAATGTTTTTGTGGTCTGTTTAAAGACACACCATACTCCATTTAGGGTTGTCTGCTTTGCTGGAGGGGTCATAATGTGCGTCTTTCTTGTCAAACTGTGTATGGTCCACATAAGCCTCCTTTACAATCTGTAAAAATAAATAGTTAATGAAAATCTTCTCACTATTGTTATATTTGTGGTGATCAAGCTTCTATTGTAGTGACTCCTCACCTTCATGAGGCCAGCAATACCTGGCTCTTTGCAGTTACTGTGGTAAAAGAAAGCCTGCTGGCCCACCTTCATATCTCTCATGAAATTACGTGCCTGAGGAGAAAAGTCTCAGGTCTCAGTATAAGTGAATGTTCTGCATGTGCTTCTTGATAAACATAGTCAATAACAACACAAATAATCATAGTCCACCTGATAATTCCTCACTCCATCCCAGCATCCCGTCTGATTGGGAAGGGCTTTGAGGTCCTCAATTCCAAACTGCAGTTGGAGGATGACAAGATAATATTTATAGCATCACTTCACATTTAAGTTATTGAGATAATTAGGTTTAACTTCACCTAGTAACAACACTTAAAAATCTCCTGCATTATTGAACTTTTTCCTCATTTGGAAGTCAGTTTCCATTACATAAGAAAAAATGTGAGACACCAAGTCAGAATTATGAGATAAATGTCAAAATTATGAGGTACGAAGTCATAATTGAGGTGAAAAATGACAGTTAAAATGTCAGGAATATGAGACACTGGTAATTTGTAAGTATGAGATAAGTAAAAACTATGAGATACTAAGTAATAATGAGGTAAAAAATAAAAAAAGTTTAAATTACGACATACTAAGTTAAAAAGCTGACATTTTGTCATAAGTGTGACTTTTTATGTCATAATTTTGATTTACAGAAGCATGTTTTTTTCTTTTTGCAAGCAAACATACAAACAAAACAAAACCGTGGACACACACAAAAAAAGGTTTACCTTCACATCCACTCCATTTTCAATCCGACTCTCAGGTTCAGATTTCATGAGCCAGTGGCTGTAAGATGGTTTTTCTCCACATCACTTTTTACTACTGCTGACCTTTTTCTTTTGCCAGTTTTGAGTTGCGCAACATCATCAGACACCTCACTATGTTGAGCGTCTGCATCAGCTAAAATAAGAAGCAATTCATTATTTAAAGTGAGTGATGACTTTTAAAAAACGATGCAACCCTTATATTAAGCAGATTACTTACTATGTTTATTAGATTTGGCGCTGCTTCGTGCTCTTTTCTTGGGTGGCATGTTTCACTGGAAATGTGAGGAAATGTTTATTTCTCGTGATAATATAGCGCCCTGGCAGATCGCATGTGGTCTCTGGAGGATCATTTCTGGATTTAGTCTGCTTTTATTTCAAACCCAACCACAGAACGTGGAGTATATTACAATTAGAACGTTTATAATTATCAAAACTGCTTGCAAGTTAAATTTAATACATTCATGTGTGTTATAAAAAACAACTAAAGCTGCGTTGATTCTAAGCATACATGATTCACATGAAGCTACCTGTCAAGTGCGAAGTGTTTAGAACTACATTACCCATCATCCCCTCGGTGATTGAACGCGTCACTGAATCAACATGGCGGCGGCTAGGGTGCTCGCAAGAGGTGTCCGATTGGGTTCATATAGCATCGGTAGAAGTCGCAGTTTAATATTTAACACTGTACAGGGACGAGGAATAGCAGCTTGCATTGATCGTAAGTCAAATTATTTAAAGACCGTGATAATGACAACATTGTTGGTTGAGAAATAACGACAAGCGTTCAGTCATTTAGGACTACTTGTATATATGTTTCAAATACCATGGTTTTACATTTTAATAAAGATGTAGATTTTAATTAATGTAATCTCATATTCGATAATATGTCATTTTGGTGCAAATTTATGATATTAAATACCTGTCGATGGCCTAATTTCTGTGGAAACGTGGTTAAGTTGGGTCCCGTTTGTAAAAAGCAGTCTGTTTTTAATTTGAATGTTATTGAAGTTATACATCAACATGCCATTTTAATCTAGCGTTACATTTTTGTTTAGTAAACTCAGTTGTGCAGGATTGTTGAGTCAATATTTAACGCTTCCATTAAACGGCAGTGTTCCTGGAGTTTCGAAGTTGACCGTTGAAAATTTGTACAGTGTATAAAGAAATGTTGTTTGATATATTTGATTATAAAATTTTACGTTTTAATAACTTAACGTCATTTAATCGGGTTCTTGCAAACGCTATTGGTTGGCTTTTAATAAGTTCAACCAATCACATTTGGGGGTGTGTATCGAGCGCAGTTGATTGGCTCATATCAGACGCCGTTTCCTTTGGTTGGTCATTACAACAGCTGCTGCTGCTAATACATACAGTGGATAAACAAGATAAACTAATAGTAACAATATAAACTAATAATTAGTATATATAATATATACACACACATTTCTGCATATCTCCACAGCCTCTATAGGACTCACAGATGAACAAAAAGACTTTCAAAAAGTGGCATTTGACTTTGCTGCCAACGAGATGGCACCACATATGGCAGAATGGGACCTGAAGGTAACCTGCACATCTGACAATACTGCTTATTGTTTATATTTAATGCTGAAGCATTTACAAAAGTTGAGCGTCATTAATATCTTCACTTGTAGGAAATTTTCCCTGTGGAGGCCATGAGGAAAGCCGCCCAGCTGGGGTTTGGTGGGATTTACGTGAACCCTGATGTTGGGGGGTCCGGACTCTCTCGTCTGGACACCTCTATCATATTTGAGGCTTTATCCACAGGCTGTGTCAGCACTACCGCATACATCAGTATTCACAAGTGAGCCATCTCTACGCCTTATAAATATCCCTATTAGCTTACTATTAATACTTTAAAGTTGTTGCTGCATCATAATAATACATAAGGTTGGACTAAATATATTTTTTACATAAAGTGGTACATGTGCTGGCATATAGTTTTCGTTCTTCATGGTTAATTAGGTTTTACATGGTGGTTACTGATTGTGTTTGAAACAGCATGTGTGCCTGGATGATAGACACATTTGGAAACAATGAGCAGAGGGAGAAATTCTGTCCTGATCTGTGCGCTATGCAGAAGTTTGCCTCGTACTGTCTCACAGAACCTGGTAAGTTCAGGATCACATTTTCTGTGTTCCTTTGTGGCATATATCAGTGTTATCAATAACCTAAAAGTATTTAATTTATAATTATTTTGTTTTATTTATTTATTTTTTATTCCCTAACCTCAGGTAGTGGGAGTGATGCCGCTTCACTTCTAACCAGCGCAACACTCCAAGGAGATCATTATATCCTGAATGGCTCCAAGGTACCTTGAGAAATGATTGAGGCATTGACAAAAATCTCCATGCAGCATCCCAACAGTTTTTGCTGTTTGTGGTCAGGCGTTCATCAGTGGAGGTGGAGACACAGATGTTTATGTGGTGATGTGCAGGACAGGTGGGAAGGGACCTAAGGGCATCTCCTGCCTGGTGGTTGAAAAAGGAACCCCTGGACTCAGCTTTGGCAAAAAAGAGAAGAAGGTAATGAACGTCTTCGGTATACAGTAAGTTTATTATTTAGGACAGGAACACTGAGTGGTAAAGATTATCCAGCAGATGGCAGGATTGAGTTATATCATCACTGTTGTGATTTATAATCGGTGTACCAACATCTTTCAGGTAGGTTGGAACTCGCAGCCAACCCGGGCCGTGATATTTGAGGACTGCGCTGTCCCAGTGATCAATCGGCTTGGAGCAGAAGGGGAGGGCTTCAGCATTGCCATGAAAGGCCTTAATGGAGGCAGAATTAATATTGGTGAATTGTTTCTTAACTTAGATTTGAAACCTTTTTTGATAACCTATTTATTTTGACAGATTTGTGTTGCGGTCATTTGAACCCAGAGAGGATTTTGAATGTTATCACATTGGACTAAATCTTACTGACTTCCTAAAAATGTGATCAGTTTTATACTTTTTGGGGATTTTTCTCTTTTTGTTGCGCCTGTGGTGTTCCAGGTCCAAAAATTAATGTCCTAAAAATTGCTTATACATCTCTTGCTGATAAATTTCATTTGTTTTCTTTCAGTTAGAACACGTTTTTATTTATTTAATTTTTTTTGGAGCTGATTGATCATAGGCCTCGTTGATCTGAGCTTATGCACCTCAGTTTCTGAGTGAACACTGGCAAAGTTATCCACACATAATGCTTTTTCTATCAGAAATTGAAATGCATAAGCTCAGATCAATGAAGCCTGCGATCAATCGTTTCGAAAAAGAAATACAAAAGCTGCTGATTGAAAGAAAAGGGATTTACAAGCAATTTTTTACAAGGAGTTTCAGCACAGGGCAAGAGTTCATGTTAATTCTTTTGAACCCACAGCTTCTTGTTCCCTTGGAGCGGCTCACGCATCTGTGCTTCTGGCCCGAGATCACATGTGTGTGCGGAAACAGTTTGGAGAAACACTATCGAACAGCCAGGTACCAGTTGAATTGTCTAGCACTGATCTGCATAATAGGATTCAGTCAAATGTCTGTTAAATCAGAAATAGGAAGTTGTTATTGACGTCTGTGTTCAGTTCCTGCAGTTTAAGCTGGCTGAGATGGCCACTAAGCTGGTAGCTTCTCGGCTGCTGGTGCGCCAGGCGGCGGTGGCTCTGCAGGAGGGTCGACCGGAGGCGGTCTCGCTCTGCTCAATGGCCAAACTCTTTGTGACCGATGAGTGTTTTTCAGTAAGTGTATATACACATTGCTCTGTCGGATTGTGATGACATGTTTGATGTTGTTACATAAATACATCAAGGTTTTTGTGATCATCTATTTCAGATATGTAACCAGGCCTTACAGATACATGGAGGTTATGGTTACCTAAAGGACTATGCAGTGCAGCAGTACGTCAGAGACATTAGAGTACATCAGATATTGGAGGGTAATGAGTTTCTGTCTTATAAAAAAGTTGTAATATATCTAATATATTTAAAATAGTATTTAAAAAAAATATATATATACATATATATCTAACTTTTTATTTTTTTTAGGTACAAATGAAGTGATGAGGATGATCATTGCAAGAAGTTTGCTCACTGAGTCATGATGCTCATAAATGGACTCCTTAACGGGACAAAACCGTTTGTGTCCTCATTGTCTAAAATGTTCATCAGAGATATTGGGTTAAGTGACCGTTATATATTTATATGTCCCACATGTGACTATAGAGATAACTGCTCTTTCACACTCCTGCGTCTGTTGAGTTTGATCATGAGATGTCGACAGTATTTTATGCAGAAAGTGTGTGCCTTAAACTTGTGAATTAGTAAATCTAGATTATAGTGGTTATTATAAAAGCACACTGAGGAATTTGGTTTGTTTGGGGTCAAAATACCGTCAGGTTACGAAATGTAACCTGTAAAGAAAAACTGGCTATAACATTAAAGTGAAACATTTACAAAAGTTACTGAAACAATTTAGTTGAAATCATATAATTAAGGCTAATAAATCCTCAAATCTAACCCTTTTATGTACATATAGATATCAGATGAATTCAATATTCAGAACTTACTTTTTATCACAGACAGCTGTCTTTGTGAGCACAGAAAATCCTATCAGTTCAAGTGTGGCTTTATATTGTTTGACCTCATTACACAATATGTATAAATCTTACCCTCATGTTGTTTTGAAAATGACTCTTGAGCTGTTGTGCACCCTGTAAAATAAAATATAAAAGCTGTTTGGTGAAACTTTCCACAAAGGCTTTTTGGGTTTCACCTGAAAATCAGTTTTTGTACACTACCAGTCAAAAGTTTTTGAACAGTAAGATGTTTTATGTTTTTAAAGAAGTCTCTTCTGCTCACCAAGCCTGCATTTATTGGATCCAAAGTTCAGCAAAAACAGTAACATTTTAAATATTTATTTTAAATATTTTTTTATTTGAATGTTTTAAAATTTAATTTATTCCTGAGATCAAAGCTAAATTTTCAGCATCATTACTCCAGTCTTCAGTGTCACATGATCCTTCAGAAATCATTCTAATATGCTGATTTGCTGTTCAATAAATATTTATTATTATCAATATTTAAAATAGTTGAGTAAATTCTTTCAGGATTTTTTTATGAATAGAAAGATCCAAAGATCAGCATTTATCTGAAATAAAAAGCTTTTGTAACACTATGCACTATACCATTCAAAAGCTTGGAGTCAGTATAATTGATTAATTTTATTTTTGGGGAAAGAAATTATAGAAATTAATACTTTTATTTAGCAAGGATGCTTTAAATTGATCTAAAGGGATGATAAAGAAATGTATAATTTTACAAATTATTAATATTTTGGATAAATGCTGTTCTTCTGAACTTTCTATTCATCAAAGCAACCTGAAAAAATTCAACTCCGCTGTTTTCAACATAGTAATAAAAAATGTTTTTTGAGCAGCAAATCAGAATATTAAACTGATTTCTAAAGGATCGTGACTGGGGTAATGATGCTAAAAATTCAGCTTTGAAATCACAGGAATAAATTACATTTTTAAATATATTCAAATAGAAAAAACTTATTTAAAATAGTAAAAATATTTCAAAATGATACCGTTTTTGCTGTACTTTGGATCAAATAAATGCAGGCTTGGTGAGCACAAGAGACTTCTTAAAAAATTTTTTAAAAAACCATTAAAAATCTTCCTGTTCAAAAACTTTGACTGGTAGTGTATGTTTTGTCAACATGAGTTTATAATGTTCTTAAAGTCGATAAGAATTAAAACGCTATACATTACAAAGGTCTCTATCTTTAATCCATCATTATAGTATCACTAAATGAAATAAGTGCAAAGGTACGCTTATAGGTACATGAAAAAGAGTGTATATTTATTGTAAGCTCAGAAATTAAACGAGTAGAACAGATGCAGATGAAGCATCTGAGAAACATCTAAACAACTGGGGCAGGTTCAAGCTCAAACCGGTGTGCACCGTTTTGCCACGGTTTCCGGTTTGAACGACATGTTTCCTGGAAACGGTGTGCAACGGGGTTTGAGATGTGTTTTCTCTTGTTTGGTGGGTGTGTCAAACATGTCAGCCCAGTCAGCAGCAGCATGTATGTAAACCACGCGGTATTAAAGAGACAGCTAGCACAATGTAATTAACATCCAAATACATTCACAAGAGCAAGTATATTGTTTGCACATGTTTATTTACATTAAAGGCAAAATAACTGAAATAATAAGAGCATATGTATAGATCTGGAACTTCTTTAAGTCTGTCTAAATATCATTTAGTAATTGCAATGTCTTCTGGTCCATATCCTTTCCTTAGGAAGGTGTGCTAGACACTGATTAATGTAACATAAAAATGCTATACATATTTATATAGTTTGCTATTGTATTATGGAGTGACACTTTCATAAACTTTTCTATACCCCTCTGATTATATAATGGTAAATATTACAATATCATAGCACAACAACAGTGATCAGCAATAATGATAAGCCTAATACTCACAATAAAAATAATAAGGTCATATAGATCATAACACAGTCTCGGGGGATAAGAAGTGGATTATCCTTCACCTGAAATGTTTGTCTTTTCATCCTGAAATGCGAGGCAAATGTTGGATCACAATAATTAGGAACCACAGTTTCCACAAATCCCTTCATTTGATTGGGATGTTCTCTTTTATTCTGGAGGGCAAGGGCAGTGACTGCACCATCGAGCGTATTTTGCAGTATTTATACCGATTTCATCAGGCTCCGAAAATTCTTCTAAAAGAACACAAAGAATGGCCTTCTCAGCTGCCATAGTTGCAACTCTTGCGTCATCAGAATAGTGTGTTCGACGCACCAGTTTCCGTTTAAAAAACGTTTTGCACCGTTTTTGTTGGGGCTGAACGCAGCCCTGGTTCCCTCCGCTCTGCTGATGCGGTGCTGGATTGTTTTTCACCTGCCTTGTAGAAAAATTAATGAAAATGCTGAACATCACATCTAGTTCACACCTATGCTCTTTTACATGTTTTCTGGATGTGCTTCTCCTTTTTCCATGTGTCGTAGATATGACCGTTACTCCAATCAACAGCGCAATGAGAAAGATTCCCATGAACACTCCGCCAATCACAGCAGCATCTATCAATAGAACACCATGTCAAATGATTTCAGTATTCAGTGATTTTAGAGCTGTGTGTGTTGTACTCACAGGTCACTCTGAGGGTTACGCTGCACTCTGCTGCACTCTGCCTGAGTTAATTAGACACTTTACATGTGTAGGTTCCAGCGAAGGTATCAGACAGGTTGTGCAACTTCAGAGAACCTGTGTGATGATCTGAAGAACAATTGAGACTGGATTTTTTATTATTGTATTGTATTTTTAAAGGTAGATATTTAGCAGGGTGGCTGATGACTAATATACATGTACAATTTACTGACAGCAAATTAGATGTACTTTAATATTTATTTTTAGCCACAAAAGAATGAAAAAAAATTATTAATTACTATAAAACATTTTGATGCATTTGGTTATTACAAACATGCAGCGTTTCGCTAGTCCATGTTAACTGATGGACTGGAGTGGTGTGGAATACTTGTGGATTATTGTGATGTTTTTAATCAGCTGTTTGGACTCTCATTCTGACAGCACCCATTCACTGCAGAGGATCCACTGGTGAGCAAGTGATGTAATGCTACATTTCTCCAAATCTGCTCTCATGAACAAACAAACTCATCTAAATCTTGGATGACCTGAGGGTGAGTACATTTTTATTTTTTGGATTTATTAAAAATCATTAATGGTTTGTGTTTATATATAATCCTGTTTGGCTCTTTATAAAAGTTGAGTAAGCAAATCTGTGCCATCCGTGCACTATTTTCAGGTGCCAGATTGAGTGTTATAGCAGCAGCTGATTGTTTCCTACCTTCAACAAAACTGTTTGACGGCAGAGGGGCTGCGTTCTGCTCTCTGTGCCATGAATAGATTGGTGCTGGGTGACCCTGAGAGGAATGACATATCAGAATCACATCATTCCCCACGAAGGAGTATCCCTGCAGCCAACATTCTGGCACAGATGGAGGAGCTGATGATGGAGAGAACAATTTTAAAAGCTTGAAATAGTGTGAAATGTAAAAAAATAAATATGTAAAAGTTAATATATAAATATATCACAGGAGGTTATTCTATTTGGGGGTCTATTGTGTCACAGTTTCCACAAAAATATTAAGCAGCACAACTGTTTTCAACTGTTTCATTGATGATCATTAGAGTGATTTCTGAAGGATCATGTGACACTGAAGACTGGAGTAATGACTGCTGAAAATTCAGCTTTGTCATCACAGGAATAAATTACATTTTCAAATATAATAAAACAGAAAAGATTATTCATTTTAAATGGTAATTATATTTCACAGTATTACCCTTTCTACTGTAGTTTTGATCAAATAACTGCACCCTTGATGAGCAAGACTTCCAAAAGCATTAAAAAATCTTGCCAAAACCAAACTTTTGAGCAGTAGGGTGATATTTATTATATTAGTAAATCTATATTTACTCATATATTTATGAAACAGAATTTTCTATTAACTAATTATAAACCATTTCAAATTAATGTTTAATAAAAAGAGTGAAGGAATTACTCACCGAAGTACTGGAACAAAATGCTGGTTGTGAGGACAATGTGACCATATGCCATTATGCATCTAATATTTAGTTGTCCTTGCACTGAGATAAAGAACAGATCATAAATGGTCGGCTCTGACTAACAGAAAGCACAACGTCCAGAATGTGCTTGCAAAAAGTGGAGGCAGGTGTGAATAAACACTTCTTATTGTTCTTCACTAGAGCACCTTTTTCTTTCAAATTGTTTAAAATAAATGTAGTGGAGAAAGTCTTGCAAAAATATTCGGAGTTCGGAGCTCCAGAAGACAAAATAAGACTTTATTGAAAGAAACCACAAAGCCGAGATGCCTGCAGAACAAATGACCAACTCACACTTTTATATGGTTTTTAACCTCTAATCTTATTGTAGGAGTACTCTCCCCAAAACTCCCTAACTCTGTTCCCTCTGTTCTCTGTTCCTCATTATGTGGTTACATTGGTCTACCTTGTAAGAGTGGCAGACTGCCAAATAGCCTGCATCAATAACAAAGTGATTATTCAGTGTATTTTCTAATAATTTTTATCAGAAGACCATGTTTGAAAGACATGTGGCCTAGAAGAGTAACTTAATATCAATTCAAATGCCAACTTCAGCCAAAATCTATTTTTTCCCCCCGTGGGACTTAACATCTGGCTTTTGTAATGTTCAAACTATTTCTACAATTGTTTTATATAGGATAAATAAAATGTTTAATCAAAAACATCCATGAAAAAGTTGGCCATTCAATAGCCTTCTATGCCAACCAATATTATTCTGAATATTAATTTTATACTTACTTTAAAAACAATTTTGGTTCTCATGATACCAACAAGAAAAAACTGTATTTCTGTTATGGCCATAGTAGAAATCGGGGGCTCGTCCGGGATCTCAAACTGAGAACTCCTGTAGACGAAGTAAGCTGATAAAAAAGACAAATGTGGCAGCAAAAATAAAGTGTCTGGTTCTGATATTTAATATACTTGTTGTTAATAAAATTTGTTTAATGCGGGTCAATCAAATGCCACATTAAAGAGATGTGCTAGTTTAACTCTTTAAAAAAATGTTTTACAATGCATTTTTACAATTTTGCATTGGTTTAATAAGCAGAACATTATGGTAAGTAATCAAAACAAGCACCACCACTTAAACACTTGAACCTCACTGAGGCATTTTCCACTTTGAAACCATTTCTTACATCTCTGCTTCCATCATGTAGACAGTTAATGTATAATGCTTTCAATTCCATATAATGCTAATTTGAAAATAACAAAATAAGTGGAAAAGGCTTAACTACAGAGTAAACAATATATTCAACCAGAATATTCACAATAACATTCAGCATTAACACTATTATTAAAAAAAAACATTGCTTCCAATATTCAAGTCATTTTACCACAAGGCTAGTTTATCGTAAATTTTCATGAACACGCAAATGAATAAATGGACACTTCCATGTAACTTACATGATCACATGTTTTACAAATTAAGAGTCCTTCCTGCTCCAGTAAACGAGCATGGCAGACACTGGCATTTGTTTGTTTTATGCTCTACATCATAAGACAGCATTTTCACAGGCTCTCATTTTATTTTCTACTTTACAGTCTTCCCCTTTCTCTCTAAATTTCTTAACTCGTCTGAATGGTCAGAAAATATTACATTTGAAATAAAACCTGCTCTGCTTCAGAAATCTGTCAACCGCTTGACAGAAAAAGCGAAAACTCCTGAGAGAAACGGAGGCACAAGAGGCACAAGAACACTCAAGATTATTGTCATAAATTTAACTGAATGTCTAAATAACTGGACAAATCTGAATCCGTAAACACAACTGTTACAAAAAGTGGACATCTGCATCCCATCATAATGTATAACTCACTGACAAAATACTGTTCTCGGTCAGTGAAAAGTTGACAAAAAGAACTTAGAGTGTTTAGGCATCAAAACGCAGATTAAGCTCATTAAAAAACATGTAATACTTTAGAAAACAAATCAAAGGTGTATTTTTCGACATGTAACGATATTTTACTGTACTTTACTCTGTATAAAAAGTTAGCCAAATTTATCGTCACATTTGTCGATACCCTTCTCCACATACGTTTGGCTAGTCGTTAGCACATTATTAGTCTTGAGGGCCGTTACACCAGTGACCCGGTGTGGTTCTGGGTGGGCACCATGATGGGCACAGCCCCCATGCGGGACAGGGTGGCAGAGTTTATAGGCATGTTGAGTGGGCGTGGGGTCTGCGGCTGCAGCCCCTCAGTCCTCTGTGTGGAGAAGCTGTTGGAATTGAGGACTGCGGGAGTGTGATGGCGATCATGGTGATGATGGTGGCGGTGTGTGTGATTTGCTGTGCCGCTGGCGTTGTATCCGGGCAGGCCGTGTAGTGGGTTGGGCTCCCCTGGGCGGAGGCGGTATGTGGTTGTGCTTCCAGAGGTGGTGAGGATGGAGGTGGTGTCCAAGGCACCAGGGGGGTATGGGTAATGGTTGTTTTGGAGTGGATGCTGAGGCTCCTGTGCAGGAGGGCTGGTGGCTATTGAGGACAATGTGCCATTCTTTGATATGATGTCCGATCCTGTGCCGCTTTTAGCCCAGGAGACGCGTTTCGGTGCCTGTGCATCTTCCCTTAAAGCAATAGAAAGCACATACTGTAATACAGACATCTAATCTGTAGCATTATGGATGAAGTGCAAAAATCAAGTACAGATATTCAGTGTTGGGAAGGTTACTTTGGAAAGGTTACCCTACTTAAAATGTAATAAGTTGTGTAACTATTTCAATTACTTTACAGTATTACTTTACTGATTACATTTAATTACCTTTCTAAATTTCTAACGAATGTTTTCAACTGTTAATCATTTTCAGACATTTAAATCAGGCAGGTTAACCTTATCCTAGTAAAAAGTAATATATTTAAAATTGATTTATTTAATACTAAGTATAGTTCAAATCTGTTAACATATTTACTGTCATATCGCTCGAGACTTACTGATATAAAAATAATTCAACTTTATTTGAACTACTACTTGTGCACAATGCACATTTCTTAAAATTAAGCCTAAAATGTGTTTTAATGCCACTATTGATGTGGATTGTATGATCTTTGAATAATATCGGTCTTTAAATGCAAGATATATAAGTGTACCTGAAGCACAATAGTTCCACTGCAGTGCAATCAAATATACTTAAAGGTGCAATAGGTGATTGTCTTCAGAAACATTTTTTGTTATGCTGGTTGAAAGTCTCTTCACATCCCGATAGCAATCATTAAGTTAAGTGGTCTAAATGTATTTGTCTGTATTTATATGTTCTGTGGAAGGTGTAGGATCAAGAAATGTTTGTCCAATCAAAACACTCGGTCTGAGCTTTTTAATATGCTTTCCTACCTGCCTGTCAACATATGTATTTGCATACCTCTGTGCACCCAGTTTGCGCAGACAGGATACATCATCAGCGCGTTCACGCATGCTGTGCAGACAGAGCGAGAATGGCAGACAAACATCAACAACCCGATCTTCCTTCCTGGTATTGTAGTACTTTTAAAGATTTCTCACCGGTCGAGCGGGGGAAATCCATTGACGTTTACTTCACTTCAGAACATGGGCTGGAATTGGGAACCTGATGTAGCCTATTGTAGTAATGTTGTCTCTGGTCTGTGAGTGTAAATGCGTTCAGGGGGCGTGGCTTTGGACGGCGATTGCAGGGAGGGTGGGACGTTCGCTTTCAGTGCTATCAAGCTAAAGTTAGCATTTTCCAAGATCTCCTATTGCACCTTTAAGTATATCTTTAGTTGGACTGTAGCACTATTTATGCACAATTAAACTGCATTTAGTACAAAATGAGTTGTTCCAATTTAGCAGACATTAAGTAGGCCTATATCAGTTTAGTGTACTAAAAGTACAATTGCAGGATTTTTTTTATTAAGTACATACATATGTATTTGTAGTATACTTGGCATTAAATAAATGTATTTCAAATACTTTTTTAGTATATTTCTTTTCACTAGGGTACAGTATGACTCAACAATGAATACTGTCAGACTTTCAAAATCCTTCATCACTTGAATTAAAATTACAATAATTTAATTTTAAAACACAGCTACCACAAAATCTGAATTTAGCACCTCTTTTACTTTGAGATCTTTCTGAGGTTAAAGGGTTAGTTCACCCAAAAATGAAAATGAACTTACCCTTTAAGTACAGATTTAAAATCATAACAAGAAATAGTAAATATTAATACAAGAAGTATTCAGATGTAACCCTCTTCATAATCATTAACAGTTTCATAAGTAACTGTAATTTAATTACACATTTTTCTTAGTAACCGTTGCAGATTACAGTTACATTTATTTTGTAATCAAATTACACAATGCCATTACAAGTAAATAGTTACTTCCCAACACTGCAGATATCCTAATACAATATTAGAAATATAAGACACATGCTCACTTGATATCATTGGCCATCTCCTCTTCTGTGTCACGGTTTCTCCTCAGGATGAAGATCAGGAATAAAACTAGAGCCATCAGACCCACCACGGAGCCCACTGTGGCCCCGGCGACCACCCAGGCATTGTTAGCTGCGGCCACAAGAGGAACAGTGAGTGCTGAAATCTACAATATAGAATGTTGCATCAATCTTTTTGAAAGATACTTACGGGTGGAGACCTCTATATTGATGTGGCAGCTGTCAGTCCCAGCCGTGTTGCTGGCGTGGCAAACATACTTGCCGGACATACTTTTGGTGAGGTTGCTAAGTCGAAGGGTGCCCTGCCTCTCATCTGAAAATAGAACCAAACATTCATAACATCATATTTGAACATCAAATGCATTTTCAATAGAGTTCACCTCTTTGTATCTATCTTTCAGCTGTTGTGACCTATTGTAGCATGTGACTGCTTATTCTACTTTTATGGGTGTTTATTCAATTACAGGCAATTTTGGTCCGGAGGACTTTTAAAAATTAAAATGTCCTTAAAAATTCCTTTCCTATTCTCACCATTTCAGTTTGTTCACTAACATTATTAAACTGTATACACCACCATTAAATACAGTAATATTGTGAAATATTACTACAATTTATTATTTTATTACTATTTTAATATATTTAAAATGTAATTTATTCCTCTAATGGCAAAGTTGGATATTCAGCAGCAATTACTCCTGTCTTTACTGTAAATATCATAATTGATAACTGTTTTATTTCCTATTTCAGGTTATGTATGCTTTAATTTTTTAGGACTGACTGTTTTTTTCCCAAGGCATTGCTATAGATGCCAGTGTTTCCTGTCATAGCTATGCAAAGATTTGATTTCAAAAACCGTATCATAGCTATTAAATTATTCTTGTTATGATTTTAAATCTGTATTTAACCTCAAAGTAAAAAAAGAGGTGCTAAAGTCTGATTTTGTGGTGGCTGTGTGCTATACAGTTAAATTATTGCATTTTTTGACAATTTTATATTTTTGGATTTTGAAAGTGTGACAGTAATCAGTGTTGAGTATTACTGTAAAAGTAACCCTGCCTGGTTTTAGTGTCTGAAAATGATTAACAGTTGAAAAACATTCTTTAGAAATTTCGAAAAGTAATAAAAAAGTATTCAAATGTAATCAGTTACATTACTTTAATAAAGTAATTGAAATAGTTATACTACTCATTACATTTGAAATAGGGTAACTTGTAATCTGTAACCTATTACATTTCCAAAGTAACCTTCCCAACACTGCATGTACAGTATGGGAGAAAATAATAAAATAATAAAAATGTCCACCACAGTTTGATAATAAACGAGCACACTAACTTTATTAAAAAGGGGCAAATTAGTTTGGTTTGGGGGAAATGATGCGAGACAGCTATAATTTGTGGAAAATTAAAATTTCATTCATATTTTAAGATTAAAGGGTAAAACAATAAAAATCTCATGTGTATATAAAATGCATTTAAAAAATAGCAAAGATAGATGATGAAGGCATGATAAAAAGTTTCCAAAACTGTTTTTAAGTGACCTTCACATAAGAAAAAGCTAATAATAATCTTGTAGTCTAAGTAAAAAGAATAAAAAACATTTTGGCCATAAAAGTGCACACAGTTGAAGAAACACCCTTATATGAAATATGTTGACATAGGCAGTAAATAAGAGTGTAATCCTTTGAAATCCCTATTTATGAGAGCACTTTATCATGATGACTGACACATATATGAGACATATGTGTTAACGACTTGGCTACAGTTATGTTGACAATACTACGCCTATTTTCACTGCATGATGCTGGCAAGAAGGATGAGAAGTTAAAACCAACAAGACAGAGAACAAACATTACATTTCTGCCATTATTACAGTGTTGGCAGAGATTGCAGTCGACCATCTGCTGCTGTAGCTTCTGTCCACACACTGATTGGCCTGTAGTGATGAGCAGCCAAACTCAAATTCCTCAGTGACCCAGAGCCGAGGCCAGGCGACCAGGGACCCCAGTCTGGGCTTTCCAGATTTCACAGGCACTTTTATACTAATGAAGTGTCACTTGAAATGATTGGCTTCATAAAATCAACACTTCATTGGTCAGTTCATAAAAACCTTCAGTTTGTATTGCTTCTGCATTGAATAAACTACGAGACACAGGTCTGATTTAGCTCTCTAACAAGACACAGATACAGTACAGCACCACACGATTCATAATTTCAACAATGGGAGGGAACAAAAAAGATGAAAGGGGTAGGATGATGTTTGATATGCTTTTAGACTGATATGCTTGGGATATTGAATCACTCTAATCTCACTGACACACATTGATACAAATGGCTGATTGCTAAAAATGCTTATCAAGCTTTAAGCTTTTTTGTTGTTTTTGTCCTTTTTGCCATTTTTTGCCATGGGCTTACAGAGTTTTAAACATTTCTTACTCTATGTGTAAAACTGCTTTAAAAAATACAGAGTGTAACTTTAGAAAACAATTGCACAACCTTTCAAAAGTTTGGAGTCACTAAGATTAAAAAAATAAGTTTCATATGCTCACCAAAGCTGTTTATATTTGCTCAAAAATACAGTAAAAACACTAATATTGTGAAATATTATTACAACTTAAATATTTTTTTAAACCATGATGCAATTCTTGGACTCTTAGATGAATAGAAAACAGCATTTATTTGGAATAGAAACTTTATGTAACATTATAAATGTCTTTACTGTCACTTTTGCACAAATTATTGCATCTCTGCTGAATAAAAGTATTCATGTCTTTCAAAAAAAGTCTTACTGACCTCAAACTTTTAAGTGATAGTACAAGTAGCTTTATCTTTCTTGTACTGACATGTACAAGCAAACAAGGGTTGGGGAATAAACTAAGCAAGACTGTAAGAGTGAACCGCACATTTACTGAGTCTATCTAAAGAAGTTTTCTCTATCCTATGGTCTATTCCCTTACCCAGGTATCCCAGCACAAGCACAGGCTGGGGGCAGAACCTCCACTCTGTGAATGTGCAGATGAGAGTGACATAGAGAGGGCGAGAGGAAGACAGATGACCAGGAGAACATGATTGGTTTGTCTTTCCTGAGGGAAGAATTACTGAGCACCTCGCCTCCCTCAGGACTCTCATGTCAGGAGAGAAACTGGGAGACCCACGTGCCTGGGATCAAGGAGGAAATTTGCTGCATGGTTGATAAGTATAAGCCAGCTTTTGTGAACAGCTGGCACAGCCGTGTATTTCGACTAAACAGATTTCGAACATGTCAACAGAAACCATGAACCATGAAACCAAATCATGATACATTTGGGAAAAATTGTATTGGATACTAATGCACATTTTCTATTTCTGTAACTGTAATATGTCATGCTTTCTTTATCGTTTGATATGGACTTTAGAGAACATGCCAGTAGACATGTAAGATGTTCCTGGCACTCAGTCAAGGTCAAACCTGTCGTGTTTAGAGGCAGATGGGAATGTGTCTCTCTGGCTGATCTGAGGGTAACGGAGCTATTTCCACCTCTCCTCAGGCCAAGGAGGGAGACACGCTAAATTAGTGATAAATGATGCCTGTAGTCCTCCTCTCTACACAGCATCTAACCAATTTCATCATGATAATAAACAGATCGAGAACAGAGAAACGCCTCTTAAAATGATACAACAATAACAAAGATAAAAACCTATTTAACAGTTATACACTACCATTCAAAAGTTGGGGATCTGTACGATTTAAAAAAACAAAACAAAAAACTTGTTTATTTGAGTAAAAATCATAATATTGGGAAATATTATTGCCATTTAAAATGACTGTATTTTTTTATATATTTTAAAATGTAATTTATTCCTGCAAAGCAAAGCTGAATTTTCAGTATCATTACATCCTTCAAAAATCATGCAAATATGCTCAAGAAAAATTTGGTTATTTGCTGTTGAAAACAGCTGTGCTGCTTAATATTTGTGTTTAAACTGTGATACATTTTTCTTGCTATATAAAAGCATTCATTTATTAAAATATTATACTGTTAATGTATTTTAGTAAGATTTATCAATAGAGCTATTTTGTTTTAAGTCTTAAAACACACAGCATTTTTGGGTCAATAGGTTCCCTAGGAATTTTGAATGGGTTTTTAAAATAGCATTTTCTGAGTAAAATAAGCATTGTGGTTGACATTATTTCAAGAGACTACAGCATAAATTACAGTCAAACAACATGAATTTTAAAACTGGTTTAAAGTTGTTATCAAGTAGCAACATCAAGTCTAAATCCGATTTTTCCAGCACACAAATTCCCAAAATCTCAAAGGAAATTCCTGGGGGAAGGCATGGTAAATTAGCCTTTCAGGTTGGTCTACAAATGGACATCATAACAGAACAACTCTATAATCATATTCTAATTCCTTTTGTGCTACAGGTAAAAGCAATTAAAAAAGAAAGAAAATCTCTGCCTGGATGTATATAGTTTTTTTTTCTTTGTAAAAAGGAAAACAGGTTATACTGTTTACAATTTAATGAAGGTTGAGTATAATTTATAGTTAAAACATACCAGGTAAGTGTACAAAAATGTATAAGATATTCCATGGTTGCATTGAGTATTGTATGTAACTTGAAATATGCTACATGATTGTACTCAAATGATTGTTCACAACAAACAAAAAAATAAAATAGAAAAAAAAAATAAAGAAAGAAAAAAGAAGCACTAATACTGTACATGTATGTAGACCATTTAAAATGACTGTATTTTTTTATATATTTTAAAATGTAATTTATTCCTGCAAAGCAAAGCTGAATTTTCAGTATCATTACATCCTTCAAAAATCATGCAAATATGCTCAAGAAAAATTTGGTTATTTGCTGTTGAAAACAGCTGTGCTGCATAATATTTGTGTTTAAACTGTGATACATTTTTCTTGCTATATAAAAGCATTCATTTATTAAAATATTATACTGTCAATGTATTTTAGTAAGATTTATCAATAGAGCTATTTTGTTTTAAGTCTTAAAACACACAGCATTTTTGGGTCAATAGGTTCCCTAGGAATTTTGAATGGGTTTTTAAAATAGCATTTTCTAAGTAAAATAAGCATTGTGGTTGACATTATTTCAAGAGACTACAGCATAAATTACAGTCAAACAACATGAATTTTAAAACTGGATTAAAGTTGTTATCAAGTAGCAACATCAAGTCTAAATCCGATTTTTCCAGCACACAAATTCCCAAAATCTCAAAGGAAATTCCTGGGGGAAGGCATGGTAAATTAGCCTTCCAGGTTGGTCTACAAATGGACATCATAACAGAACAACTCTATAATCATATTCTAATTCCTTTTCTATCTAGTTATTTTGTGCTACAGGTAAAAGCAATTAAAAAAGAAAGAAAATCTCTGCCTGGATGTATATAGTTTTTTTTTCTTTGTAAAAAGGAAAACAGGTTATACTGTTTACAATTTAATGAAGGTTGAGTATAATTTATAGTTAAAACATACCAGGTAAGTGTACAAAAATGTATAAGATATTCCATGGTTGCATTGAGTATTGTATGTAACTTGAAATATGCTACATGATTGTACTCAAATGATTGTTCACAACAAACAAAAAAATAAAATAGAAAAAAAAAATAAAGAAAGAAAAAAGAAGCACTAATACTGTACATGTATGTAGAGAAGGAAGAACCTGATTGTTGATAAATCTGTTAATGCTGCATATAGCAAATAATACTTGATGATGACAGGATGACCTTGAGTTAACAATTAGAATTCTTTAGTCTATTCTAGTGCTGTCAAATGATTAATCACGATTAATCGCATCCAAAATAAAAGTTTTTGTTTACGAAATATATGTATGTGTGCTGTGTATATTTATTATGTATATATAAATACACACACATCCATGTATATACTTCAGAAAAATAGGTTATGTTTATATATTTATTTATAATATAAATTATATGAATATAAATATAGACATGTAAATACATGTAAATATTTTCAAAATCTATACTGTATGTGTGTGTAATTATATATACATAATAAATATACACAGAACACACACATATATTATGCAAATAAAAACTTTTATTTTGGATGCGATTAATCGTTTGACAGCACTAGTCTATTCATTTAACAGCCAATGTTCAATTGCATTATTGACACACAATTATGCTATTTGAGCACTTCTTATAGTCTGAATGTCTTTTGTCAGTTTATCTCTTTAAGTTTTTTTGTTTGTTTGTTTGTTTTAAGAAATTAATACTTTCATTCAGAATCTAAAGTGACAATAAAGACATTTGTAATATTACAAAAATATTTCTGTTTCAAATAAATGCTGTTCTGTTGAACTTTGCGGTCATCAAAGGTTTCCACAAATATATTGAGCAGCACAAAATATTCAGCATTGATAATAATAAGATATGTTTCTTGAGCATCAAATCAGCATATTAAAATTGTATTTCTGAAGGATCATGTGACACTGAAGACTGGCGTAATGATGCTGAAGAATCAGCTTTGCCATCACAGGAATAAATGGCATTTTAAAATATATTTATTTTAAATTGCAATAATATATCACAAAAACTATATCTACAGTAAAATAAAAAAGATCTCAGATCTCTAACTTTTGAATGGTAATGTACCATTTAAATGAACCCCATTTTAACCAGTCAGAATATATCAATCCATCCAGCAAATTAAACAAAATTGTACCTTTTGGTATCATTAGTGTATGAAAGATAAAATAAAAAATGTAATTAATGCATCCACAAAAGCTCCTGAATTTTTCTCAGTCAAAGAAAGAGAATCAAACAATTGCAAACATACAGATGTGGGAGACTCACTTTGCATGGGAGAGAAGAAGACCTCAGAAAGAGGAGCTGCTTTGGTCCATTTGTACTGAGGAACAGGTTTGCCATAGCTGGATTTACAGCTCAGTGTTACATTGCCACTCAGTACAGGATTTCCTGTCATAGAGCACACAGGTGTGGATGGAGGAACTACAACGAACAGAAAAAGAAGCCATGAGACAAACAGTTAAATACCCCAAATATGTGAATATAGCCACATTTTGCCAATGTACCTTTAACATTGAGGTGTAGCTCTCCAGACAGGCCTGGAGCTCCAGGAATGATGACGTGGCAGTGATAGCGCCCGGAGTCAGACTCCTGCGTGTTATTGATGTAGATGGACAGATTGGCTGAGGGCATCGTCATTGCAAAACCCACCCGCCTCCGAAAGTCAGTGCTACCGATGCCAATCTGTCCTGAGAAGTAGGAGATGACCTGCAGTCAAAAACACATAGAGAGACCTTAACACACAACTGGACATGTGCAGTACCCAGTACGATAATAATGGAGGTAAACTGTCATAAGATAATCCTCTGAAGAAAATGCAAATGGTCAAGTTCATATATTAGGCTGATTTCCATTTATTTATGATAAGCAAGCAAAGGGAAACTAGTGGAACTACAGATTATGATAAGCAGCACAAATATCATTCATTCACATGCATACGTTTGCATGTGATAGCTTGCTTGCGCATACGGTATAACCTGACACATTATCATGCCTCAGGCTTTATTAGCGGACATTGACATCTCAATCTAAAACCCTCAGCGATAACGGTTTGAGGTAATCCACTTCTCGCCCATCTATCAAATTCATCACGTGTATTTTCATTTGACCTTTCAAGTGTTCCATACACTGTAAGAAACTGACTGTGAAATTCACAGTAATTAACTGGCAGCAAGTGACAAGTAACTTACTGTAGAAAAGAACTACAGTAATTAACTGGCAGCTAGTGACAAGTAACTTACTGTAGAAAAGAACTACAGTAATTAACTGGCAGCTAGTGACAAGTAACTTACTGTAGAAAAGAACTACAGTAATTAACTGGCAGCTAGTGACAAGTAACTTACTGTAGAAAAGAACTACAGTAATTAACTGGCAGCTAGTGACAAGTAACTTACTGTAGAAGAAATAACCATATTTTTGCTGTTTTCATTTACAGTAGCAACCATGTAACTGTAAAGTAAAACTCACTAATTTGCAAGTGCAACCTTTTTTTTTTGTTGCCTTTTTGTGCTTATTACACAGGACAGTGTAGCGATTTGTGGGGAATGTAATCAGCAAATGACCTTAAGCCAGGAATCGAACACAGGTTGCCAGAGACACAGTTGCACTATATGTCAGTGCGCTAACCACTAGACTATCGGTACCGACAGGTTCCATTGCTGTTTAGTTGGACCTTAAGCCAGGAATCGAACACAGGTTGCCAGAGACACAGTTGCACTATGTCAGTGCACTAACCACTAGACTATCGGTACCGACAGGTTCCATTGCTGTTTAGTTATATTGGTTCTGCCCAAGTAAAAAAAAAATGTATAAAAAAGAATAGGAAATAAATAATGCATGTTGCACGATTTAAATATAAATATTCATTTATCAACAGTCACATTTAACAGCTCATCATTATAACAAGCTTCATTTATCATTCTTCACTTATTGCTAGATATGCTAGATATTGCTAGACCTTCTGGTCATTTTTGTTTATTTTTTTTTTTATTAAAGAATACATTTGCTTCCTGTATTATCTATTCAAACCTAAAACGTAACTGAATTACAGTGAGGTCAAATGAAATGCAGTCATTGGCTGGAAACCCAGCTGCCAGTGTAGGCTACTATGTTTTCCTTCTCTATCCCAGTGGCTGGGTTTCAGAAAACCCTAGTGTATGGCAGTACGGTGAAATCGCATTCTGGGGGGTGAATTTATGATTATGATACTGAAGTTAAAATAATATGATAATAATTAAAAGTTTGTATGAAGCAGTATAATGGGCTGTTTTTGTACAGGTAAAATAACTGGAAGCGAAAGACACCAGAAGCCAAACACATTCAAGTTACAAATAGTCACGCCCACTCTCTTGTGAAAACTAAGCTGGATGTAAATAATATCCATTATTTTTTTACAGCACATTGTTGGTTACTGTAATTTTCTACAGTACATAATTAGTTATTGTGTTTTCTACAATACATTGGTAATTACTGTGATTTTCTGCAAGACATTGCTGGTTACTGTGACACTCACAGTACTTCTTAGATTACTGCAATTTTGACTGAAACTACGGTATTCTACTGTGAACTAGCATACAGTAATTTCCTGTGCACAAATCACAGTAAATTCCTGTAGATTACACATGAATTTTTTACAGTGTACTCTTCCTGTGACATTAATGTGAAAGCCATCTGTTGAGTGAGCTGGGTCTGACATGTCAGGTTCACGTATTTTATTAGTCTGCTGATGGAGGACAACAGATTGTTCTATCATGTAATCCATCCCTCTTTTTTTCAAAACGACAGCAAAGGAGGACAGGAAATGGATAGCTTATATATAATGTAGACTTCTAAAATCAATATCAAGATTATGGGTTAAATATATAACATATACACATTTCCTTAATTATTATTAGTAAATTAATTATATATAACATAGACTTGGATGTATATACAGTATAACATGGACTTGCTGTATTTTAAAATTTAACATCAAGATGCAAATATAAACAATTAATTATGAATAAATTGCATATTACATTGAAACTATATATAACATGGACTTATTCAAATTAAAATTCAACATCAAAATTCTATATAAATGTTATGAATTATTATAAATAAATTATCCATATATAACATGGATAAGTCTTATTTTAAAATTCAGCTTCAAGATTTTGGTATAAATGTATATACATTTAATTGAGTTTTATTAATCAGTAATTATATATAACAAGACTTAAGACCTATATATAACATATATATAACAAATGTTAAAATTGAATATCAAGATTTTGAGTTAAATATATTTATTTATTTATTTACTTACTGTTAATAAATTAATTATATATAACATGGACATATTTTAAAATTAAACATTAAGCTTTTGAGATATATATATATATATATATTATATTACATTATAATACTATATCATTTTTTGTACAAATATTCTATGTGTTAAGAATTTTATAATGCTGTTTCCAAACATACTCACTTGTTTGGAGTGATTGGCCATGAAGGTCCAGATGGCCGCGTTCTTCTCGATGGAGGTAGTGGGGGTGTACCAGGCCTCCAGAACAACCATTTGTCCCATGATTACCTCCATGTCTTTCCGTGGCATCTCGACCCGCTGAGAATCACCTGTGACAGCAGAGAAACAGCCAGTGTTGAGACACTTATCCTGGACTTCAGAGGGCAGGTTCAGCGGCAGCGCTTGACTTTTAGGTGATATCATTCAATTGTAACATAATCCTACAAAGGCAAAATTCCTAATCCAGCCAAACACACAAACAAAAAAAAACCTTTAAAACCCCTGTGGATCCCATAAATCATGTACTGAAAAATTAATAAGGTGATATAAAGTGTCTTTTTCAGCAGTCCACTGCACACAATTTTTTGTATGCATACAATGCATGTATACGAAAATGCATCTTACAGTAGGAAAAAAACAATAAATAAATCCAAACATGTAGATGTTGTATGCTTTCATTTGATGAATTTAGTACAGAGTACTTCTCAAAAACGAGTTGATGTAATTAATGAGCTCCTCAATAAGCAACAAGAGGTCACAATGAACTGCCAAGATAGTTTGAGCAAAGAGCAAGAAAACGTAATATAAAAGTGTAAAACAAAGTTAAACGTCGCATGCAAAGCTTCCACTGAAGGAAACATGCTAAATGATACCCTGAGGAGACTAATTTAAGTACACCCACTGTCAGAGGTCACTCACAAGGCAGGAAGTCTCCTGAGCTGCTCAGCTGCAGGTGGATCGATTGATCCCAGCATCCCCAACTCTCCTGGTCAGCCAGTTTGGTGGTGGATCCCTCACTCACAGACAGACGTGGTGCTGGAGCTCTGCTGAGCTGAGTTGCTGCGCTGCACTGCTGCTGTATTCTTTTTACTTTCAGCTTTAAACTGAATCTCTCTGTGACGTAAAGAGGCGTCTTGCTTTAGGCTGAGCTCTGCCCTCAAGCTGGGTTGTTATTGCTCATGAGACTGCACCCATCTTTTCATTTTTTAATTTCTGTTGTGGATCTGGACTAGTAATCCTCCAACAATCCGCAGCTCAATCTCGCCACACATTCTACGGGCTCACGTGAAGCGAGTCAAGCTCAGCTGGACTTAAAGATGATGTAACCTTTGACAAGCGCTTTCACTGCTGGACTGCCTTCATTCATATTCTCACAGAAAGATAAACCTCCCAGATTACAGGATCCGATGGGAAACTGATCTAAAACAACCATATTCCTTATCATTTATCCTCATTAAGCTCACAGGGGGAGCTATACATTAGTACAAGATCTATTTACCAAAATATTCTGATTCTTATTCTTATTACTATAAATACTAATACCATTAGTAATCAACTGAAATAAGCTAATTTTATCACTACATTACAATATTTGTTTTATTATAATGTTAAATGTATAATTAAATTGTATTATATCTAGTTATTATAAATAATAATAATAAATAATAATATAGTAATAATCTAAAAAAGTATAATATATACAAATAATCTATATTACATCTATATTAAAATTTTATTTTATAGAATTATAATTTTATATCATTACATTAATAAATTATAATGATTATAATAAACAATAATAATTTTAATATTATTCATTTGTATAATATTTTAAGAATGAACTTTTGTTCAGCGATAATGCATTAAATTGATCAAAAGTGACAATAAAGAAATGTATAATGTTACAAAAGATTTCTATTTCAAGTAAAATTTGAACTTTATATTCATCAAAGAATCCCGAAAAAGTGTTTTGTGGTTTCTACAAAAATATTAGGCAGCAAAACTTTCTTGATAATAATAAGAAATGTTTCAATGGCACTGAAGACTGGAGTAATGTCTGCTAAAAAAGTCAGCTTTGCATCACAGAAATAAATTACATTTAAAATATATTAAAAGGCAAAACAGTGATTTTGATTTTAAAAATGCGGTCTCGGTAAGCATAAGAGACTTCTTTCAAAAACATTTAAAAATATTACCAACCACAAAATTTGTACAATATATCAAACATAAATATGTAATGAAAGATGAGAAAAAAAAAGTGTATTTAAAATTCACTTCACGGACTGTCTAATTCAATCATAATATTATCAGAAAACAGTATTGTACTTGTTTCTCTCTGACAGATTAGTTTTGCACTTTGTCAACCTTTAATCTTTTTAGTGGTGAAAGCTCAATCTTCAACTTCGTCCCAGCCTGGGACTTTGGAGCGAGCGTAAGTAGGACATGCATCGCCTGGGCTCATGAAAGAGGCGTGCCGATGTGTGGCAGCTCTCTGATGTGCAACTGCACAACTCTGCAACTGTCTCTGTGAGCCCAGGTTTATCCCTTACATTTCTGAGCCATAGTAGTTTATTAAATCAAGGAAACTCTTCCCTAATCCCATCCTGGCTTCATCTGTGCTGCTCTAGACAGAATAAGCATAAGAGACTTCTTTCAAAAACATTTAAAAATATTACCAACCACAAAATTTGTACAATATATCAAACATAAATATGTAATTAAAGATGAGAAAAAAAAGTGTATTTAAAATTCACTTCACGGACTGTCTAATTCAATCATAATATTATCAGAAAACAGTATTGTACTTGTTTCTCTCTGACAGATTTGTTTTGCACTTTGTCAACCTTTAATCTTTTTAGCGGTGAAAGCTCAATCTTCCCCTTCGTCCCAGCCTGGGACTTTGGAGCGAGCGTAAGTAGGACATGCGTCGCCTGGGCTCATGAAAGAGGCGTGCCGATGTGTGGCAGCTCTCTGATGTGCAACTGCACAACTCTGCAACTGTCTCTGTGAGCCCAGGTTTATCCCTTACATTTCTGAGCCATAGTAGTTTATTAAATCAAGGAAACTCTTCCCTAATCCCATCCTGGCTTCATCTGTGCTGCTCTAGACAGACACACGCAGCACCAAGGTGGAAAGCCTGATATGGACACCTTGATTCGAGGATTAGCACATGAACATTTACACACAAGAGCAGACCTGATGAACTCATTTAGAAGTTCAGATCTTCATCCTGATGCACAGCTATGCAAAGTTTGTACTGTGCTTTTATCAAATGTCCTTCCTGAAATTAAAAAAAAAGCCTTGAACCAAGTGTTGATATGAGGCTACTCTCATTAAACAGAGACCCATTGTCTTCAAATATAATTCCCTTCTTTTGCTTGTCTTCGGCTCACAAGGTTTGTCTGATAAAGCTTTAGCATGAGCGATCTGAGCCAGCCTTAAAACACGTCAAGTTCATGTTTCCAACAGTGTAACATTTAGTGCACAGTGGACATTCAGAAGGTGAAGACTGGAGAAGCTGCACAAAAGCAATGAGTGAGGGACATCTTTTGGAGATGTGAGGAAAGGTTTACCCCCTAAAATTCAAAACCAAATGGAAATGGAGATCACAAATTATAGTACAGACTACTGCAGTTACAATAGGCCTCCTAGTGAGGGCAGCACAGTACTGCAGGATGAGAACAAAAGAGTAAAGGTGATAGATGAGTTTAGAAGAACAGATTTAACAGGATATATATCAATGCCACTCAGTCTAATGTGCATTCAAGGGAATCAGAAATCCACATCAGATCTCAATCTATAAAGCAGATTTTAAGACTTAAGAGTTTAAAAAAAATAAAGGTTGCAAAAGGGAGTTTTCATAATGATGCCATAGAATAACTATTTTGGGTTAGCCTTAAAATACGTCAAGTTCATGTTTCCAACAGTGTAACATTTAGTGCACAGTGGACATTCAGAAGGTGAAGTCTGGAGAAGCTGCACAAAAGCAATGAGTGAGGGACATCTTTTGGAGATGTGAGGAAAGGTTTACCCCCTAAAATTCAAAACCAAATGGAAATGGAGATCACAAATTATAGTACAGACTACTGCAGTTACAATAGGCCTCCTAGTGAGGGCAGCACAGTACTGCAGGATGAGAACAAAAGAGTAAAGGTGATAGATGAGTTTAGAAGAACAGATTTAACAGGATATATATCAATGCCACTCAGTCTAATGTGCATTCAAGGGAATCAGAAATCCACATCAGATCTCAATCTATAAAGCAGATTTTAAGACTTAAGAGTTTAAAAAAAATAAAGGTTGCAAAAGGGAGTTTTCATAATGATGCCATAGAAGAACTATTTGGGGTTCACCAAAGAAACTTTCAGTGAACAGCTCTTAAAAGAACAATTTTTTCTTAGTGTGAAGAACATTTTAATAATCTAAATAATCTTTTTCCACAATAAAGAACCTTTAGTACAATGAAAAGGTTCCATGAACGTTAAAGATACTTCATGGAATCATCAATGCCAATAAATAACCTTTATGTAGTGCAGTGTAGTGAACTTAAATTTCATCACAAAATTGTATACAATATTATTTATTTAAATATTATATTTAAAATGATAAATATTTAAATTATTATATTATATTATTTAAAAAATTACATATAATATACATATACATACATACAGTGTATACATACATATATATATATATATATATATACTATATATACTGTATATAGTAGATAATTAAATAAGACAATAATCAATTACAATAATAATAATGATCAATTATAATAAGATAATAATCAATAATAATATAATTTTAGTTATAAATTAATATACATTATAATATTATAAACACTGTAAAAAATTAATGAAAATGTACTGGTAATTTTCTGCCAAATCATTATCAATTCATTTTTACTGACATTTCTATATCAACTCCAAAACATAACACAATGCACTATTTTTACAGATTTTATTAGTGTACCTGTATTGATTTTACCTCAACAACTGAGTCAGTTTAATTCATACGGTACGTTTTTTTTTCCTTAGCGATTCACTGGCTCAGTGATCCAGTCGAAAGTGTTCTCAAGTTTATAGCTCACTTGAGACGAATAACAGATGTCTGTTCCTCACACCAAGCTATCATACAAAAAAAATTGTGTAAAGATTCTTTAGAATTCTCCTTTTTTATTTCATAGAAATACAAAGCATAGAGATTTGAATGACAAAGGGCCGAGCAAATAAGTACAAGGTTTGAGTGGATTTCTAGGCAACAACTAGGCTACAAGTAACTAACTTCACCCAAAGGTTCATTGTCAACTTATAGGCCTACTCTA